AGGTATAACATTTTATAATAATTTCTTAAATAAATTTTTATTTTAATTAATAAATTTTAAAAAAAATTAATACCATTTAACTAAAATTATCTATTTATTTATAAAATACTAAATTAATAACATTATGCGCTTCATTAATATCTATAATAAATATTATCTTTATGAGCAATTCAATTTCTAATTAAGTTTAATTAAAGTTCATTAAATATGATTAAATATGATGATTCAGTGACAGATCTAGAAACTTTAGATAGTGGAGGAAATACTTATCCATATATTTGTAGTACTAAAAAATTTACATATAATTTTTAAAAATATAAATATATATCATAATTATTTTTTTACAAGCTTTTATATCTATGAGCACAATTAAAAATAAAAATATATATTATAGTTTAGTAGGTTTGAACCTAACTTTCTTAAAAAACATATACCTTAAGTATGACTTATTTATCTATTATAAACAAATTTTAAATATTTTGTTAGAATTACAATTCTAAAGACCTACTTTATAATAATTTAACACTAATAAAAACATAAAAAATGAATATGTTAAATTTTATAAAAATGAAGTTTAATTTATTTATGATATAAATATGTTTTTAATATCTAATATATATTTTTAGATCATAAATTATTTTAAAATATATTTTATAATAAAAATTCTAAATAGAACATAAATGTTCCGACCTATATTAGTTTTTTTAATCAACGTATATAATCTTATTATTTTTATTTTTTTAATCAACATATATAATAAATAAAAAACACAAAAGGTAAAAATGCATGTTACAAATTTTATTTTATCAAAAATTGATTTTTTTAACATATTACATTATATATGTGAGGATTAAACTTATATGTATATTAAACTTTTTAAAAAAATTGATTTGTTATTGAGGAATATTCTTTATCACATAAGAGAGTTAATCTCTTTCAAAAGTTTAACAGACATCAAATAAATGAACATCCCCTTCGAATTTATATTTTATACATATGATAATTTAAACATATATATTTATTTTATTAGAATTTATTTTTTATTTTTTAAAAT